CCCGGCGAGCAGGAGTATCTGAACCATACAGGCGTTTCGTCCACGTCTGACTTTCTCAACAAACCGTAACCGCCAACCTAACAGCCACGGCACTCTACAAATGGTGACCTGGACGTGATTTTTTCCCTCCTGCTAAAAACACACAAGACGATATATATGTACAAAAACAAACAATTTCTTATACACACACCTTCAAAAAAAAAGAGAGCCAGATAGGAAAAAAAATTGAAAAACTTCTTTTCGTACACTATCAACGAAAGAACAACAATTACTACTATTGAAGACGAACCTTTAGAACTCTTTACCCACTGGTCTATATTTGCTTGACCCTTTCTTTCTCTCGGCGACGTTTGACCCTAATTTCACCCGGCAGACATGCTTAAGGCTGTACCAAACGGAAAACAACGCTATTTTCTACTAACACTGTTTTTCTTCTGGACTGAAATAGAAAAAGTGTGAACCAAACCACTGGACGACTCACTGTTCCATTATATACGATTGGTGATTCCAAACCATTGCAGACGACTCACTGTCTCAATTTTAAACAACATTCGTGATTCCGACATGAAAGCAACACTCAACTTACACCACGTGGCGATATCTTCACGCCACTGCTTGCTTCTCATTCTTCTCAAACACACGTGGACATTCTAGTCAACACAACTTCAACTGACTACACATCCACTCACATTGTGCTAAACATTGCACATATTTCAAATGTCAATGCAGTCTTAAAGGCAATTCACCGTCCTTCATCTCATTCTGCAATTACGCGACTCAAACAAACCGAGATTTTGCCAGAACGATACTCTATCGACAATACCAGCAAATTCTCTCAAACATGCATTCGACACTCGGTAGAAATTCAGCTCAACTTCACGAATACGCTGCGTCTATTAACTTTAGTGCGCCGATGAAACCCACACGAACCACCTCGTTTTTCAAACCAACTACAAACAAGCCAGCAGACAGGTGCATAGATCGACACAACCAATTCAACGTGGAGCAAAAAAAAGACAAATTTTGATAGCAACGCAGACCACTACCGACGCATTTTACAGGACGTGCCCAATTCTAACTCACTGAAATATAACACTGCACCCTGAGACAACACTACATTTCGTCGAATCACGAATCTCAACCACACTTCTGACACATTTTCTTTTCAGCCCACAAGAACAATATTCAGACTTTAACGAACCTTTTTTCTTTATATATTAAAAGTTTTCATTTCCTTACAACCTTTAATCTGGTGGGGGGTATTGTCGGAGTTACCTCCTCCTTCAGTTTGTAACCCTTTCACCAGAGGTCTCTCTTTCCTGGCTATAAATAGCCAATGACCCTTCGCTTCGATCTCTCTTTTTACTTTTCAGGCTTGTGCACTAACGCACCGAGGTAAATTTCTCTTCTTCCTAGAGGATTTCAACTGTCAACCTCAAAATGTAGTCCCTAACAAGAAATAGCGTGAAATCACGCTAAGCACAATACACACACGCTCGCACACACGGAATATTCCCACACACTTTGTCCTTTGTACTGTTTTCTTGTATTGTTACTTGTTATGAATATATATTTGTTGTGTATACATATATTATCGGTCTTGTTTTGTTTGCTTTCTTTTCCTTCTTCTTTGGACTTAATCAAAGTCCAACCTTTTTATGTAGTTGGGCCCGGCGAGCAGGAGTATCTGAACCATACAGGCGTTTCGTCCACGTCTGACTTCTCTCAACAAACCGTAACCGCCAACCTAACAGCCACGGCCCTCTACAATAAACTATTGTCTTGTAAATGGAATTTTAAAGCATTCTGAATGTAAAAATAAAGAAAAAAGTGTGCAAGACAATAAGAAACACTAACTGCCAAAAAATAAAAAAAAATGAAATTTTGTTGAAATTGGTTGAAAAATGTAGGAAATCCAATACCCTATATAAACGAACACACACACAAACAACCTGGGTTTTATAATAAGTATAACTCGATATGAGTTGTCCTCACTTTCATTCTCGTGATGCCTCTTAATCGTGTTTTCAAATTGATTTTGTGCAAAAACAATTGTGTTTTTCCAATTTTTGGCGCTGTTAGATCCAACGCAAGGTAATTTTACGTAGTCCTGTGAAGTTTTGTTGAAATCGGTTGAAAAATGTAGAAAATCCGATCCAATATATAAACGTACAGACACACACACACACACACACACACACACACACATACAACACACACACACACACAATCTGCGTTTTATAATAAGTAAGATTAATTCCAACCTTATTACAATTTACCGTACCCTAGCAACAACAGTGTATGGGCAGGTGGCCGTTTTCTGACCATGGTTCGGGTCTCACCAGGGTTGATTTGTCTGCAAGGTAACTTCTTGATGTTATCCGTCTAGAGGAGGTGATCGCAGCGAGCAGCACCTTTGGTAACTCCCCGATAACCATACCACGGTTTGCCCCAAGTGAAACTGGAGCCGTCGGTCGTTGTGCTAGCAACAAGTTATCGTGACCGAAAGTTTCAGCGTGCTGGCCTTGTTCAATTTTTGGATTACGCTTGATAACAGGCTTTCTCAAGAAACTATAACTAAGGCTCGCTCAGCATAGTTGCAATATAAACCAGAGATTTCTAGGGCGTCGAACAAAGTCAAATGTACCTGAGCGGGTAGCTGCAACCGAGATTTGCTAGACGCCCCAGTAGACGGGAATTCTAGGGTCCGAGTGGCCACCCCTGCTACTAGAAACAATAGAGTAGAGTGATGCGTGCAAGGATGTTCGGAAGATAACCAATAATATATATATATATATATATATATATATATATATATATATATATATATATATATATATATATAATTAAAATGAAAGGAGGTTTGCGTGCGCTTCATATAATATCGAGCTTCATTTCAGTCAAATAGTTAATATATAATAAATATGAATTTTATTGACAATATAAGTATCATTTTGTTAGCTTTTCAATCTTCCAATTTTAATAACCAACCTATATATATATGTGTGTGTGTGTATGCATATATATATATATATATATATATATATATATATATATATATATATTGAGAGAGATAGAATGAGAACGTATATATTAATTTAATATGATTTCTCGAATATTCTAGGCAGGTAGGCGAAAATAAATATACTGTTTAATAAACAGAGCGTCTACGAAAAATAACGTATAAGTGATATATATATATATATATATATATATATATATATATATATGTTGATTTCAATCTTTACCAAGATTGACTGCTAAACTCTTGCGCCTCCTCTTTTATAGAGAGAGAAGAACACTAATTCATGCTGGAATTTTTTCGTAGCCAATGAAATTTGAACTGACACAGTTCCTGTATGTATTTTATGAAAGTCAGAACGCTCGCTTGACCGAATTTGTTTTCGTGTGTCGACACCAATTCTTAGTTTGTGAACTTTTTGTCATATTACTCTTAATTTGCTTTGCATATGTCTGTTTGCATTATATTATTATTTTTACTCAGTTTTTTTTCTTGTTATTGCTTATTGAAAACTTTACATTTTGACCGTGGTTTCCGACTCAACAATATATATATATATATATATATATATATATATATATATATATATATATATCGTGATTCAAGGCAAATTGGTTGAATAATTTGGTCATATTATGTCTTTGAATTTTAGTCCTCTCGAATCCTTGGATCAACTTCTTAATGTTGAAATTCATTAAGGAAAGCGCCGTAGTTTTTATTTCATTTCTTTTATTTTCCCAAGTACTTTCAGTCTCATTCAAAATCATCTTCACGGGCGAAATGTAAAGACAACTATGGCGCTTTCCTTATTGAATTTAATATCAAGATTAAAAAGTTGATCCGAGAATTCGAGAGGATTAAAATAAATATAAATAAATAAAAACAATTCTATACACATTTTCCCCAAACACTAAATCCTCAGCAAAGAAGGACAGAAGAAAAAAGAAATAAAAATCTTACGTGATAGTTCCTTTCCGACATTTTTAATGAAGTATGTATACAAGAAGGATTGCTGCTCAAGTATACAGGTAACCTACAGTTGTTTGTATGTGTGTGCAATTCTCCTCGCTCTTTTTTTTTTTTTTTTGAATACGATATTTTTCATTCTGCATAGACATTCTATTTGCCCATTAAAAGAAAACATTTTTTTGGGTTCTTGTTAAACGCAACGCACAGTAAAACGAAATCTTTCACAGAAGAAAACGCAAAATATATATATATATATATATATATATATATATATATATATATAAAATCTGGCTTTAAAAAGTCTCGGTACGAATTTCATTCGAGATATTGCATTAAATAAATCTTATCAAATCATTTTTTTAGAAAAGAACTTGATTTATATACGCATGCGTGAGAATGAATAGAAGACCCAATATATCTTCATGATATCTGAAAACACACGCATCCCCCCCACACACATATATATATATATATATATATAAACAATGCAAATAAGATCGTGTTGAATGTGTACATGTAAAAAAAATAGGTCTGAGGCAGAATGAACAGAAGAGAATTTATTTCACACAACAATTATTTTTTCAATACAATTTTCTTTCGATTCAATACACAAACTACGTAAACTTTTTTATGTAAATATTACAAAAAAGAAATGTATGCTTTGGGCGTTATAAGTACGTCAAAAAAAGGTTTTCTTAGCAGTGATATTTAGTGATGAACGTCCTTTTAAATTGATGGTTTTGTCGAGATAAATGTAGAGAATTATTGTAAATTCTTGGACAGAACGTTTTTGACTTACCCAAGAATATTTAAGCTAGACAAGCCTCCTTCACACTCTCAAAATGACTTCCGAAACACCAGATTAATAGAATGGATTTCAGTCTCTCTAAATATTTATCCAATAGAAAAAAAAATGGTTGATAGCTAAAAGAAAATGTACTTGAGAATGGAAAAACAATATTCAAGCAAAGAAAATCCCATGGAAGCAATAAAACAGCTGCACGTAATATTAAAATCGAAACAAAAGAGTGAGAGAAAGATAGAGAGAGAGAGAGAGAGAAAAGAGAGAGAAGGAGGAGAGAGAGAGAGAGAAAAGAGAGAGGAGGAGGAGAGAGAGAGAGAAAAGAGAGAGAAAAGAGAGAGAAGGAGGAGAGAGAGATAGAGAGAGAGAAAAGAGAGAGGAGGAGGAGAGAGAGAGAGAAAAGAGAGAGAAGAGAGAGAGAGAAAAGAGAGAGAAGGAGGAGAGAGAGAGAGAGAGAGAGAAAAAAGAGAGAAGGAGGAGATAGAGAGAGAGAGAAAAGAGAGAGAGAAGGAGAGAGAGATAGAGAGAGAGAAAAGAGAGAAGGAGGAGAGAGAGAGAGAAAAGAGAGAGAAGGAGGAGAGAGATAGAGAGAGAGAAGGAGGAGAGAGAGAGTGAGAAAGAGGGTGGAGGGAGGGGAAGAAGAAGAGAGAAATGTGGAATATATGCCTACAACCTCATCACGCTTGTGCTGCTCCTCTCGTTTACGTAGCAAGTCGACCTTTTTACAGGGTGGATTTAACAGTCCAACGCTTTCGGTACCCTTCCTCTGAATGGGTGAAAAGTGAGAGAGCACATGCTCTTTAACCCATAGATGTGGGCGGTGGAGAAGAAAAAAATGGATTGAAACATTTCGCTAGGTATTTTTTTAGAAAGTGAATGCAATTCGAAGTGATCGTGCCGATCATGCTCATAGGTCCGCAAAGGTCGATTTGGTTAAAATCAATTTACCTCTGTCATGAGATGGCCGGTGAGAGACGACGGCTTGTGGGGCTACGAAAAGTAGTTGCGATGTAAACTGATAGGAAGATAGACATGATGATCAGAGGAAAGCATACGGTCCTACCAGTGAATATTGAGGACATCTCCGCTGTGTTTCTTTTCCCTTCAAGAAATTTTACAAGTAAGACCTTCCCGATTTACCTGTCCACACTGCTTGTTGCATTCAGGTGTTATAGTTTCTCTGTGTGGGACATATATTCACACACACACACACACACACACACAGACCTATTGTATGATAGCGGTATATAAAATCTATGTGAAAAGAATGTATGTTTCATTCGTTAGGCACTTGGACGTGGTGTAATGGTTAGCAAGCTTCTCCCGCTAGATCTATTACGACTGAGTAGTGAGTTGTTTCCTCATTGTGTGCTCCATACTTTCGCCCTTGTGTTACATCTAAGTTTCGCTTAGTAAATCACGATTTGTGTCATTTCTTTCTTCCCTCTATTCAGTGCCTGTCTACCGTTGTATTTAGGTGTTTGAATTCAAAAAAGACAAAATAGTTCCTTTCCATAGATTACACACAATATCGACATACTAGAACAGTAAAAAAAAAAATAAAAAAAAGAAAAAATAGTTCCTTTCCAACAGCCTCATTACACACAATATCGACTTACTAGAACAGTAAAAAAAAATAAATCAAAAAAGACAAAAATACAGCCTCATTACAATATCGACTTACTAGAACAGTAAAAAAAAAATCAGTAAAAAAAAAAAAAAAAAAAAGACAAAAATAGTTCCTTTCCAACAGCTAGAACAGTAAAAAATTACACACAATATCGACTTACTAGAACAGTAAAAAAAAAAAAAAAAAAAAAATCAAAAAAATAAAAAGACAAAACAGTAAAAAAATAGTTCCTTTCCAACAGCCTCATTACACACAATATCGACTTACTAGAACAGTAAAAAAAAAAAAATCAAAAAGACAAAAAATAGTTCCTTTCCAACAGCCTCATTACACACAATATCGACATACTAGAACAGTAAAAAAAAAAAAATCAAAAAGACAAAAAATAGTTCCTTTCCAACAGCCTCATTACACACAATATCGACATTAGAACAGTAAAAAAAAAAAAAAAGACAAAAATAGTTCCTTTCCAACAGCCTCATTACACACAATATCGACATACTAGAACAGTAAAAAAAAAAAATCAAAAAAGACAAAAATAGTTCCTTTCCAACAGCCCATTACACACAATATTAGAACAGTAAAAAAAAATCAAAAGACAAAAAATAGTTCTTTCCAACAGCCTCATTACACAATAATCAAAAGAAAAAAATCGACAATATCGACATACTAGAACAGTAAAAAAAAAAAAAAAAAGACAAAAAAAAAAGCCTCAAAAAGACAAAAATAGTTCCTTTCCAACAGCCTCATTACACAATATCGACTTACTAGAACAGTAAAAAAAAAAATCAAAAGACAAAAATAGTTCCTTTCCAACAGCCTCATTCAATATCGACTTACTAGAACAATATCGACATCGACTTACTAACAGTAAAAAAAAAAAAAAAAGACAAAAAAAAAGTTTCCTTTCCAACAAAAAATATAGAACAATAAAAAAAATCGACTTAAAAAATAGTTCAAAAAAAAATAGTTCCTTTCCAACAGCCTCATTACACACAATATCGACTTACTAGAACAGTAAAAAAAAAAAAATCAAAAAAGACAAAAAACTAGTTCAAAAAGACAAAAAATAGTTCCTTTCCAACAGCCTCATTACACACAATATCGACTTACTAGAACAGTAAAAAAAAATAAATCAAAAAGACAAAAAAAGAATCCGCAAATATTGAAGAAAAAAAAATCAAGCAACCTTTATTAACTGGTAAAAGTAATAAAAATAATTTATTCAGATATGTGGAGGATTGTTTTAATCAAATATATTTCTATGACCTATAACTATTGGAATTATTTCTAAATAACATTTCTGATGCGCTTTGCTTTACAAAACTTGGTACTAGGGAAAAGATTATCAATCTTGTAAATAAGGATAGATATATATTATTTAAAATGTTCCGACTGTTGTCCCAATCTTTCTTGTCGTATTCACGACGTGTCGACCGTTGTACGTTCCGACCTTCTTCAAGTGATTGGAATTTCGAAACGAACCCTTTATTTGGTCCACCGGGGTAGATCGTTCTAGTTCCACGAGCCATGCCACTTCCAGATATGTCAATTTTAGTTATTTCCTTGAATCACACGAAGAAGGCCGAAACGTCGTGAATATGACAACAAAGATGAGGACAAGGGTAAATATTGTAACTAAGAACAATCCCTCATCTTAGAAATATAGACAAAAAGATAGATATGTTCTGTCTGAATCCCTCGCATGAGGAGTTATCATTATTTACAATATTTAAATACAGACTTTTCTCCATATCTTGTTATCATAACGTTTCAGTCATTGTACCCTTCGAACTTCATCAGATGTATGTCGATCCGATTAATCTACCCTCTTTTGCAAATTAATTGAAACAAAACCAATAATTCCGTTATTATTTACTTTTTTCGTATTTTCACTGACCCAGTGAATATGTTACTATTTCGTATGTCCATTCCACGACGACATTCCTTGCAGATTGACCACGGATTCTCGATTGGAATTAAATCCGGAGAGTTTCCGGACCAGTCTCTATTACTTTGATTTGCTCACTAATAAGGCTTGCCATTTTGTTCGGGCAGCGTTACAATTTTCGTACACTTCCTTGGAGTAACGTCCGTTGCAGAAAATGGCCGTAGGACAACTAATCGACAGTCGAGACAATAGAGTGTGGGCGTGGTAAAAAATCTGACGCAATATTTTTCAATTTTTTCAAATTTCACCATACACCCCGAAAATAGATTCATATTACTGCACGCCACTGCAAATGACCTAATCGAAGGAAAAAATAGAAATCGATTACCTCCTGTCAGTCCAGTAGGTCTAAAACTGACCGTATGGTGAAAGAAAAGAAATTAAAGCGGTTCTTTCAATTAATTTGCACAAGAGTGTATGTGGAGTTCCCAAATTAACCATATTATCTACTCGAGTAGACCGTTGCCCTTTCGCTGTCCATAAAACATCTCGTCGACAATAGCCTAGTCGATTGAAGCGTTGAATTTTGGTGACGTGGTAATTGGGTGTTCAATTCCTGGGTCGGGTAGTGTGATTTGGACTCAATAACTGAACAGTACTAACAATAAGAACTAGAAGTGATATCCCTATACTGAAGCAGCGGAACAAGTATAGTCTACTCCAGTATATTTGATACTAGCAGCATTGCTCGTGTTTGATTCAAAAATCGTACGACTCGTACAGCAATCGCTATCACTTGACTTAAAATATTTTTGCCCTTCCTTGCTTTTAAAGGAGTGCCCTTTGCCGTGCTGATGTTGCTACATGCCTTACTTCTTGCCTATCTCACACTGTGAATTATTTCTAAGCTCTTTACTAAACATTAAATCTGTTACAAAAAAAGAACTAAACAAAATGAACACAAAACGATCAACTTTAAAAAAGGACTCGTAACTGGAAAAACTGAATGAAAAAAAATGTTAACATCAAATACTTTTTCACACGCAAACCCAGTTCTGCGGAATCAGAATCAACGTTGAGTTTAAGCAAGCGAATGAGCCAATTGGAGTAAAGTGCCATGCAGATTTAAATTTTTCCCACTTGTGACGAATGCAGCTATCGATTTTTTTGCATGCTAGCATGCTAGTTAACATTCGTGTCAGTCAGCTGTTGGCTCTCACGCTGGCCAATAGAATCTTCCTGCCTGTTTGTGGCAGCCAGCTATATGCTCTCACTCTGGCCAATAGAAAATGGCCGCAAACTACATGAAAACTGCCGTAGAAGCATGAAAAACTCGATTATTTCCACTATCGATGGGAGTTGGGAAATACAAAGTCGGTCTTGGCCTTTCCCGCTAACTTGGAGCATGTGCATGTAAATTTTGGTGCAAATCCGTCGAAAATTGCGGCCGTTCATTCCTCTCTCTCACACACACACACACACACACACACACACACACACACACACACACACACACACACACATCCTGCCTTTTATAGATAGATATAGGTTTACTTTCGGAATTCCCTGTAGGTAACTTTTATCGACACACACATGAAAAAGGCTGTATTGTATAACAGGCAAAACGTTGTGATAAAAATAACAAAGATGGGGAAATAAATAAGGATAGATATTATAAGCTGAAATTCAAACGAATTCAAACATACCTATACCCGAAAATAATTTATCTGCATCGGTTGATTAATAAAAATTCTATTGTCAAAACTTTGAATTACATAAAATTTGATCTCATGTTTATTAATAATGCTGTATTTAGCTGTATCCTGAGGACAGTGACGATGGAACGCATAAAAATCTCCCCGTATACAGGTAGGCTAAATCCTGCGTACAACTAGATCGGTGAGGTTATGTACGTTTGTGATTTATTGAATTTGCCAGAAGATTCGCAAAAAGCAAAGAAATAATGAAAAGTATTTTTTTTTTAAATTGGAAATCTTTGACAGTGCGGAAGACATTTTTTATTTGTGATTTGATTTCCAAGTGTCGATCCTTTCCTATTAAGTACAAAAAAAAAAGGAAAGAAAAGAAAAGAAAATCTTACATTGTAAAGAGAGAGAGAGAGAGACAGAGAGAGTTAGAGGAAAAAATAGTCCGGGAGGGACTTTTTTCTCTCTCAGTATGTGTTCATACGCATGTAATGAAACCTCGAACTTTGAAGGAAAAAAGTGTTAATTTGCTTACGTTAAAAATCAACACCAGGACTGTTGGATGTTATTCTTCTTTGGCGATCAAGTTGTGCTTAATTCGACTCAGATATCTTCACGATTATACAATTTAAATCTGAAGACGCCCGAGGACAGCCTAGCATTTAAGATGCCACATAGAATGATTCAAACGTTATTGCACTTTTACTAAGAGTTTTATTTTTTTGTTTCTTCCCACGGGTTTGTCTTTATTTAATTTCGACTCACATTAATTCTAAAAGAAAAGCCGTAACGTTATATACGTGTAAGGAAACGAAACTGATGAAATTGAGAACATTTTGTCACTGCTGAATTGACTTTCAAATTGTCGATTTTTTTTTTATGAAGCCGATGCAGCGGCAAAAGTTACTTGATTTTGAAAAGAATAAAAATAAAAAAGAAACTGTGACATTATAAGTGATCTTTCTAATCAGATTTTCTAATAAAAAAAAAGTTACCCTCTTACATTCCAAATGACAATCAACTCAACAAACTCGAAAAACATAACAAAAAAAAAATCACGCGTCACGAAATGATATTTCTTTTAATTTCTCTTCAAAATGTCGCAATATGGCTTTCATGGGCTTTTGTTAATAGTTTGCTCTAAGTCATCATCATCATCATCATCATCATCATCATCATCATCCGGTCTCAATGCTTGCGCGTGACTCCCTTGACTCTCTCTCTCTCTCTCTCTCTGTCATCCAATTCTCTTGTTCATCATACTCGGCAGGTGAGAGGGATTGCGATTTACGTCGTCAAAAGTCTGCTTCATATAGGTTTTGGCTTATCGACCCTCTACTATTTTTTCCTCGTGTAGCCCTCCCCCCACAAACCCCTTAAAAAAAGAACTTCACTAATAATTTCGTCTTTAGCTCTCCGAAAATTCCCTGCAAATCTGACTCTACGTTCTTTGATGGTGTCTTGTAATGGACGAAGGTTCCCATCCATTAGGTCTTTGGTCTCACGATCTCCCCAAAGTCACATTTACACCCACTCTTAACCTGCGTGTGTCGGCTCCGTCCTGTATTTTTCCATTTCTGATCTAAGGATCTATACTGAACGGTCATACAACAGAACACAGAGGCAACAGCTTCTTGAAAGATGATCCTTTTCATGATGTCTAGATTTTCCACTTTAGAGATATCTTGTCGACGGTACGCAAAATTTTAACAATGTTTGTGTTTACATCACTTTCGAAGCTAGAGACTTTACTACCGAGATAAGTAAATTGAGACGTGTGCCAAATATTGTTTTGCTTGTTCTATTTTGATTTAAGCTAATGTATTCTGAATTGTCTGAGTTAACACGGTGACCGATACCTTTGTTCAAGACAATGGAGAAGGTTTCTTTTCTGCTTGGCTTATCAGAATAAACGAAATCTATTTTTTAAAATGTATTTCAATGTTCATTCAAAAAGTAAAATTAAAGTTTTACAATTTTAAATTTAAACAGAATGGTGTCATTTGTTCTTCATATGTTCTTCTATGTGCGGTGTCCCTTCAAGGCGTTGGCAATCATGGCTCTCCACAATTTCCTGTCCCTTGCAGCTCTTAATAAATTTCCTCCTTTTGTTGTCTATCCTAAACCATGTTCTGTCTGCCTTTTACCCAAGCTCCTTATATAGTTTATGAGTTGTTTTCCCCCCTCCATCTTTCTTGAATTCAATCTGCTCTATGGGTATCAAATTTACCGAGCCCTGCTTCCTCTTTATGTGGCCTATAAATTTCGACTATGTCTTTCTGATGAGTGTTTAAGTGTCCTTTTTATTCAATTTTCTTGAAAACTCCGTCGTTGCATTCTTAAAATCTTTCTGTAGAACAGTATTACAGCTGCTTCAATTCTCTTGATCAATTGTGAAGAGATTGTCCAGCATCCACAGTCATATAGGAGGACTGATATGCAAGAATCAGATTAGAATAAAAATTACCTATCTGGGCTGTACAAGTTCATATCGTTTACGCGGAGGTGTGAGGGGTGATTAAAAATCACATTCCAAGAGACGTCACGATGGAAATCATGGAACGAGTCCCAGTCTCCGCGTGGATAACAGAAAGATATTCTGTTGTTAGTAGGAGGTTCATGGCTGGAGGGGAGTGGAAAGAGATCTTTACAGACACCACCAAGTGATCAGAGTTGCCAAGACGGCAGAACAGAAAGGAAATGGTATAGAAAGAAGAGATAGCTTACTGAATTGAGGAGATATAGACGGAGACACATATACGAATGATCTGTATATTCCAAAAGGAGTTCTTTAGTCAGCCGGATATGATCGTGGGCATAAACTCCGGGGCCATGCATGTGGGTTTTAGAGTCCTTGCTAAGGAAAGAAAGGTAGCCAGGAATCGAGAAATCAGAGGAAGGGATGGAAGAGTTAAGATTAGTCACGCCGAGAGTTAGTATATCAGAAGACTTATCAAAGAGGAAGGATTCCACACTACAGATGTTGGTACGAATGCCACAGATATTGAGGAAGGAAATGTTAAAAGGTTTAGGTGAAATCTTTACCTAGTTTAGGTTTAAATTTTGGGTTGCTTATGGTCATATTGAGTTACGTTGGTAAGGAAAAAAACCTACAGTAATAGAAGGAGTTGGTCATTAAATATGGCATGAGCAGAAAGGAACTGGAACAAAATGCGGCCACGGTGTTGCCAACCGGAGATGCATGCAGGTACGTCAATCAATGCGTGACATGGCACTGCAAGAACCCAGATATAATGCAACTTTTTATCAGAGCAGCCTCTCAAGACGCTACGCAATCGTTCCGGATCCTAAATACCAGTCGAGAAAACAGCAACCAGAGAACTGTCAACACGGTACCTTCAGTATGAAGAGACATTGCTACAACACGCACAGATTACAAGAGATTCCCAACAACACTATGTATGTAAAGATCGCACGTGAGCTAGAGGTCTAAAAGACACATTGAGTGGAGAGGGTATAAGGAGATGCTTGAGCATTAACTACACCCGCTAATATGGATCGCTATATATAGATAGAGGAGAAGCATATACGTCGGAGGGGCTATGGATCGGGAATCAAGAATGTAAATATAAAGTCCAACATTCACTTCTTCTAGAAAAGAATCCCTCAAAGACCTCATTAGCCACGAATAAAAAATATAACGTCCAATGCTTGTATGGACCCGAAATATCGCCGAAGACGAAATATTCAACGTTTTTAAAGAGAGAAAGAGAGAGTAAAGTAAATTTAATTATGTTGTGGATTCCGAGATGAATTCGGTCTCCAAGGAATGACAAACGCAAGGATTAAATATAAGAAATAAAATGTATTTACACAATCATACAAAGGGTAATACTATTAGTAAATCCAGGAACGCGGTTAGTTGCAAATACAGATGGATATATACAGTCTCGAAGTAGGACTTCCTTAGAGTCTACGTGCTTGTAACTGACTTCTACAAGAGGCTACCTCACTCTATCTCCGTTCCTATATTCTCTCACTATCCGTATATACTCTCTCTGACTGACTGTGGATATTTAACGGCAGCAGTCCAGGTACACTGGTAGAGTCCATTTATATGAAAAAGGAGTGGACCCCATAAATTAAATTACAAAAATAATTAAAAAAAAAGAAAAAAAAAAAGAAGGAAACGTTAGTAACGAGGAAAAGTGAAAGATAGACAGGGAGAAAATAAAATGAATACAGATTGAAATTCAAAGAGATACATACAAGGATGACGGGCGATGATATTTTTTGGCTACTTGAACGATTTAAGCAAGGATTGACATTGCCAGCTAGTAGGACCGATTTTACGTCCCTACGGTTGAACGACGTGGGGAGAGGGACAGTACTAAAATAGGCTTGTGCCAACATTTACTTCTTGTAAAAGAGAAACACTCCAACGCCTGTGAGTCATAAGTGAAAAAAAAAACTTCCAATGCTTGTATGTACCCAAAATCTCGCCAAAAGCATAATATTCAAAGTTCTCAAAGAGGAAAAAAGAGGATAAAATAAATTCAATTCTATTAGAAAAAAAGAAGGAAAAGGAAATATAAAGGAATGACATGTTAGTAAGAAGGAAGGCACAGATAGATAGATAGATAGATAGATAGATAGAGAGAGAGAGAGACAAACAGATAGACAGAAAATATATGTAAGATTTTATTTCATCATGCAAGTCAATATATATCACAATATAATTAGTATTAAAAAGCCTGTGTACATAGAAATATGTTAAAACCGAAACAAATCAACATCAGATAAAGAATTATTGCGAAATTGATTGCTTTAATAGATTTCCTTTTATTAGCGTAAGTATTTGGATTGATTCCAGAGAAAATCCATAAATTCCGATTCGGTGAGGTCAAGTACACGCCCATCCAATGAACATGTCGGAAAATGTGGTTCTTTGTACCGAATAACAAAAGACATCGGCTCTAAAGTACAGTCGGATTTTTCTGTGTCCATTACCAGAATTTGATGTCACTGTAGTTATTGACATCGCTCATTTTAAGTGCGGGCTTTGAGTGAGGATCGACTTTACTTAAAAATCGACTCAGTCTTTTAAAATACCTATCCGAGAATGCCAATCTCTTCCACACTTCCTTCTCTGCCTTTTAACTGCTGACATTTGGTGAAATGTCACTACGAACTTGATGCCTTTCTGCACTGCCTGTCCCCAAGAAAACTGGAAGCAGAAGGCCACAATTCCTCTCATATCCAGATTGAGGCACAAATCGTTGTATTGTTGAATTGAAAACACATTCTTTAGTTGGAATTTAGGGTCAAACATTTCACAATGAATAACTAATTCACCGAGTATACTATACTGTAACAAAGATCCCGCTTATATTCATAAAATCTTTTATTTAAAACTCCAACATTTTTCATCACTATATTTCATAGTTCATCTTTTGCAACTTATTTTTCAAATAATAATAATAATAATAATAATAATAATGTCTGTTTCAACTATGGTATTGAAGTCCCGGGTACAGGGTCCAAACACCGCCAGAATGATGTTACAAATGTGAGTGGAGTGAATTTCTCAATCCTTACAGACAGGAAAATTGATGCAAATCGACCAGACATAGTCAAAAAAGATTTCAAGCAAGCCCTACACCCAAGCCACCAATCTGCCACTAGCGTTTGCCGCTGGTGGCCCACCTTTTACTCGTCGGTGATTGTCACCAGTGGACCGCTGTCATTGCCACTGACGGCCCGCCAAGCGTCTTGCGTGTTGGGAGGGGCCCTCCCAACTAAATGCTCTGATTTGCCGACAGGATTCCAATATTTCTAAAAAAGTAAATGTCAATGACTGTCAAATTATAAGGACCTGCAAATCGGAGTAACAAAAACGATTAGCCCTGTTGGCATAGGGCCATAGGATATGACAGAGAAGGGTACTGGTAAAATTCGTGGATATATCAGCATGCCAGAGGTACAAAAGATCACTTTGTGCGGAATTGCATATATGAACACCACCCAGACCCAGTTACAGAGATAGGATCTCTTACAATTTTATGGGACTACACAATACACACTGACAGAACAATCAAAGCTAACCACTCAGACATTGTTATCAGAGACCGCAAACAAAATAGTGCCTCCTTATTGATATGGCAGTCCCTGCGGACTGCAATGTATCTTTGAAGATATTCAAAAAGCTATATAAAACACAGAGACCTTGAAATCCAAATCTCAAAAATGTGGCATCTGGGAACAACAACAATACCCGTGGTAGTTGGAGCCCTCGGATTGGTTGGAAAAGATTCCAATAGACTCATTCAAGGGATTCCTGGAAGTCCATGCCTTAGAAAATTACAAAAAATTGCTCTCACGACTATAGCCCACATCTTACGAAGGGCTTTGTCTATGTAAAATATGTTGTGTTTTTTTTTTTTTTTTTTTAATTGGTCAGTGGAAAATGTCATGATGACATTTCTAAACCTAGGAATCTGAAAAAATGTGTACATACCAGAAATCAAAGGAAATAATAATAATAATAATAATAATAATAATAATAATAACAATAATAATAATAATAATCAGAGAGTGGGCCAATATATGCATTAATAAATATACAAATCTTACGGAAAAGAAACTGCAAGAGATTGGTATAAGCCCCACCCAGACTCGGGTACAGACATACGACTTGTAACAATTTTATGGGACTTTAAAATACACACAGACAGAACAATCAAATGTAATCGCCCCGACATCGTGATCAGAGACCACAAAAGTAGAATAGGTCTTCTTATTGGCATGGCAGTAGCTGAAAATTGTAATGTATCTTTGAAGATCTCCAAAAGACTTTCAAAGAACAAGGACATTGAAATCGAAATCTCAAAATGTGGCACGTGAGGGCATCAACAATTCCAGCTGTAGTTGGACTCTTGCTTTGATTGGAAGAAGTTCTGACAAACTATTTTTGGGATCCCTGGTGCCCTAATCTTTAATGAAATACAAATTATTGTACTCACAAGTAAAGCTCATACCTTACAAAGGCCTTTATCTATATAAAATATGTGCCATCCTCTTTTCTTCTTCTAAAAATGCTCAGTGGATGATGCCATGATGTCATTTCTTATGTAGGTCTCTCGTTGGGACCCAGAAAATGAATATACACAAGAAATCATATATATATATATATATATATATATATATATATATATATATATATATATATATATATAGTTCGTTCTCTGTGCCGAGCCAGAAATGTTTTCTCGACTAAGTCCTTCCTTCAAATCTATAAATCAACCTTTTGCCCTTGCATGGAATACTGTTTCCATATATGGTCTGGTGCCTTCGCTGTTCGGCTCAAGGTCATCGACAAAATACAGAGACAGATATGCATTGTGATTGGTCCTGATTTGGCATCTCGTCTACAATCACATTCTCACAGACGTGCCGTGGCTTCCCTCTCTCTTTTCTACAAACAATTTCATGGTAAATACTCGGACGAGCTACTTTCGCTGATTCCCAAACTACATGAATTTAAGCGTGCTACTAGCTTGGCATTTCAATCTCAGCCTTTCAATGTCGAAACTGTTAAATATTACCGTCTCTTCTACTCTAAGAGCTTCATGTATCGCACTTTCCGTCTGTGGGACTCCCTTCCTCTTACTCGCTTCCCTGATAGCTATAATCTTCAATTATTCAAATGCAATGACAATCGACATCTTCAGATGCCTTGAACTAATTCCCCGTCTTTTCGTCATCCTTTCCTCTATCACGCCTGTTCACTTTTTTTCTCCCCTCTCTGTAACCTTTGCTTGCTAGTAGCATGCCCGCCTTGCTTGGAGTGAAACGATTATACACACACACACACACACACACACTATATATATATATATATATATATATATATATATATATATATATATGTGTGTGTGTGTGTGTGTGTGTGTGTGTGTAAGTTTATGCGTCTTATGATTTTTTCTTTTTCTTTCAGAATTGAGAGATATTTGAGCGATTTTATTTTTCACACATAATTGCCATGACTTAAATAACATGATCCAATAGAGAAATAAATACATTTTTTACCAATGACACTGGTTGATTTAATGCTGACTTTGATCCGTCTTAATGAAACACCCTTATATATGGTTGTTGTTTGGTACATCATCCGAAACTTTAGAGAACATGTAGGATGTGATTGATCCTTACATATTCTCTGAAATAGCATATATGTATTTGTGTATGTGTGTGTGCGAGCGTTTGTTTTGTGTGTAAATTAATACACACACACACACACACACACACACACACACACACACACACACATATATATATATATATATATATATATATATATATATATTGTGTGTGTGCAAATAAATATGTGGATTGCTATGATTCTTGACAAAAAGTAATGTTTCCGAAGTTATTTTGAATCAATATGATGACTTTGACACGTGCATATTATTCCACCTGCACAGCCGCCACTCAAATCTTTCTTCGCTCTGCCAAGGCTTGGCAGTCTATCAGGTAGGCATAATGATTTCTGAATAGGGGCTATTGGAAAAGATCGATACATTTTCCTTTTAACCCCTACCATATATTATTTATATTTTTTTCTGAAGTAAAGACAAAAAAAGAAAGAAAGTAATCGACAAAAAAATCGAAAAGAAATCAATTTTCTTATCCCTACCACAGGCATTTCACTTTTTCTTTTAGTCCTCCATTGGACTCTCTGTTCAGTCGGTGATTGACATGAAACATATGACTGATGACCTAACTTGGGAATTTCGTTCGTTTTAGTAAAAAAATATTTATTTTTTTGTTATGGCTTCCTTTTGGAGCAGTTGTTTGGATCAGTGTATTAGAAGTATTTCGTGTACTCAATCAAAGCATATTCGATACTTGTAAAATATTTATTTAAAATCCGTTACGAAATATTTTCCCCTTTGAAAGCGAATGTTTCAATCACTGATAAATTCTTGTTATATTATGAAATATCGTTTTTATGCAATCCTTTACGAAAGTGGATGGAATATATATATATATATATATATATATATATATATATATATATATATATATATATATAGTCGACTCTCCCATCGAATTCGACGTATGAGGGTCAAGCAGATCAGTTCCTAGGAAACCGACAGACCGACAACAGCATATGAGATTTGATTATAGTGGTGAAGGTTTCGTGCAGAACCATCTATACTTTTGAAGGGCCGAATACAGAGACCTGGTTCACCAAGTGCCACAGGATACCCAAACGACCCTCCGCAGGTTTTAAATTCAGTGTTGTTGTTCTCCTAGACTAGTTGCCATCCAAGGCTATAGAACCCTGTCTGTTCTGCTATTTTGCCCATAGTTGGAGGGAGAAGAATGATATTAGCACGTAAGTGAATGTAATGGATTCGACCTCGGCTCTGCGATTCCTCAATCGCCATCCCTTACTCCATATATTGTGGTACTCTCTTCCCGCTTCTTGCTTTAAAGTCAAGTTTGATCTTCAAAAATTAAATGCAATGTCAATCGTTATCGCCAGTCTTTTTAGTTCCTGTTTTCTTATGGTTCTCAATTCTTTAATAATGTTTTTATTTCAGATTCTTTCACATACAATAATCCCCTGCTAAAATAGAAATTAATAATGTGTGTGTGTGTGTGTGTGTGTGTGTGTGTGTGTGTGTGTGTGTGTGTGTGTGTGTGTGTGTGTGCTCCTGAAAAAATTATTTCGGTTGAGGTCTCGGAGAGACAAGTGAATTTTTAAACAGTGACTATTACTGCAGCTGATACAAGAGACTTCGTTGAGACGAATCGAGTTCTCCAGTCACTAGCGTGTTTATTTAAATATAAATACGTCTAAATTCACTTTCATCATTCCGTGCGCCAATGGCTTGGGTTAGAGTCTCCGGCTGATACCAAATCAGTCGATCCCTGCTTGAAGCAATGGGATGTCTAGTCACACTGATGAGCTGTCAAACAGCGAAACAGTCTGTCTCTGGATGATATATATATATATATATATATATATATATATATATATATATATCCCCCTCCTTCAACATCCTTCACCTTCCGACTAACATTCAACCGAAGTATTTTTGTCCTACTTTTTCTTACTGCCTTATGATTGTGCTGCCATATCAAATATGGCGAATATGGAACTTTTTCGTAGATATATACCTTTATCTATCTATCTATCTATCTATCTATCTATCTATCTGTTGTGGTAGGATCCACCTAATTTGCATA